CGACCTCCCCAGTGTGTTGTATCGTGACAGTTTTGAATCATTAGACAAAGAACAGTCTTCCCCCATCCTCGTGTACTCAACATATACATTAGAAGCTTGTAACTGGTACTCTCTATCCCTTTCCAACAGAACATGTGTATCTCCTTGTAAACTGAAACTAATGTGGTTTGTTTTGTCTCATACCTGGGCTAGTGAGTCTCTGAGGCATTACCAGTATTTACAATGAATATTAATACATCTGCTTGGGTTTATTGGTTCAATATCCAATGCATATGAAAACACACACACACACACACACACACACACACACACACACACACACACACACACACACGAAACATATATTGACTTCAACTGATTGTTTTAAATGAGCTAGCGGAAGTACACCTTAATGGGCTGTCCTTACTTTCACTCCTTTCACTGTGCTTGTGGGCATCTCCACTTTTCTTTTTACACCCGCGTTTATAGATACCACTAACTTTCGATCTTAATGTACTTGAGCAATCTTCAAAAGTCTTTTTAAACGAAGCTCACGATATTAATTAAAGGGACAGTAGAAAAAAAGGATGAACAGGTGTGGTATACCACCCAGAGGTCACCAGGCCCTTGAACCTTCGAGACAACAGATGCCTTGACTCTCTCCTCTGTCTTGTTTCTCTCAACTCACTCAACACATGACACCAGACTTATGAACTCATACTCACCTTGAGTACCTGGGAACAAACGCATTATCTGCTTCAGTGCAGGAGGCAATGACATTGGCCGGTGTAGGAGTGAGGAGCTCCTTAATAAGTTCAAGGCAGCTATCGAACGTATTAGGATGAAGGGAAGGATCCCTATCATAGAAGAAGAGCTGGCAATGAATGATTGTGAAGGGCAGTTGGTGTCAACGGTCCTCTTAACAGATATTGCAAGTCAATATTAGTCCCATTCATTGTCAACTGGGACGACTTTTACGGCAGAAGGGACCTTTATGCTCAAGATGGGGTACATCTGCCTAGGGATATGGTGGCAACCCATATGAGCACGGGGGTGGACGAGACTGCAGTGGGAGCGGGTAAAAAAAAATGATGGGTTACAGAAAAATAGTGCTTGGAATGATGACAAAGCTAAATTAGGCAGGGGGTCAAAACCTAAACGTGATAAAGAGAGGACTCAGATCATGACTAACTTAAATGTCTATTGTGCAAACAATAAAAGCATGAGAAACAAAATGGATGAAATCAGGGCGTTGGTATGTACCGAAAAAATCGATATTATAACATTCACCGAAAAGTGGACAAACTTAGATTCATTTGACTTACCTGTCGAATACCAAACTAACTGTTACAAATTATTCCATACCGATAGGCAGATTAGGAAAGGAGGCGGGGTTGCAATCTATGTCAAGGATAATCTGAAGTATGAAATGTATCAGGAAATAAAAACTGAACTGAATACAAAAACAATTTGGGTAGAATTCACCAATGGTAAGGAAAAATTAATCATAGGAGTAATATAGACCTCCAAATCTCGATAGAGTTAATGAGCAACTTATTTGTGATGAAATGCAAAGGGTATCCAGACAGGGCAAAGTCTGTATAGTAGGCGACTTAACTTTAGTCAAACCGATTGGACCTACCTTATGGGTAACTCAGAATCAGAGGGTTATCTTGAAACAGTTCAGGACTGTTTCCTAAGTCAACTTATAGCTGAACCCACCTGGGGTAATAATATACTAGATTTAGTTCTGTCAAACAGAGAAAGCCTCATTAGTAATGTCGAAGTAGAGAACAAAGTAACAAACAGTGATCACAAAGAAGTGAGATTCAAAGTAGAACTTAAGGTCAGTCGCAAGGAAAATTCCATAAAAGTTCCCAGATTTCAGAAGGGCAAACTTTGAGAGGTTGAAAAGACAGCTGAGAGCGACCTTACTTTTCCTGGTGACATGACAACGATAACCTCAAAAAATATAACTGTTGAGGGTGACCTGACCACGAGATCTGAGGTTGACAAGTTCCATAACAATTTAGATAATGAGTTACTTAATGTAAAAAAGCAGAATACACCGAACAGAAAACTGAGATCAAATAACAATGGCCCAAAATAGATAAAAAATTATTCAAAGAATATTATTGGACAAAGGAAGGCTATAGGTGGGAGAATAAAACGTGATGAAATATACCTCCGAGATTATTATAAAGTATTGGCAAGTAGGGTTGAGACAGAGATAAAAAAAGCAAAGAGGAATAATGAACTGAAGGTAGCAAGGAAGGCAAAGTTTCATCCAAATGTATCAAACTAAAAAATGAGACAAGTTTAGACCAATCCAGTTAGATACCAGCTAGCTTGCGGATAACAACGGAGAAATGAGCAATAATCTGAACAGATATTTTCAAAAGTTTTCACCACCGAATATTAAACATGATACCCGAGGAACCGACTATATACAGAGATAGTGAAGAAAATAGATTAAGCGAAATAATACTGACTAGCAACAATGTTAATAAACAAATAGACAAACTAAAGCCTAATAGGTCACCAGGTCCCGATGAGATATTGCGAGTATTAAAGGAAATTTGTTTCACATATCGTTAAAAACGGGTGTAATACCAGAATTCTGGAGGATAGCGAATGTGATACCGATTTCAAGAAGGGAGATAAATCACTATTCTCTAACTACTGTCCAATCTGTTTAACATCAATTGTACGCAAATTGCTTGAAGCAAAAATTTCAAACTCTATTCGAAATCACCTGGAGAAGCACAAGTTGATCAATGATTCCCAGCATAGCTTCACAAGTGAGCGTTCATGTTTGGTTAATCTATAAGCAGTCTTTCCAACTATTTTTGAATCAGTGGATAACCGACACGATTATGTGGTATACCTTAACTTTAGCAAAGCCTTCGACAGTGTCCCTCGAAAGACTAATACGAAAAGTGGAGGTCTCATGGAATTGGAGGAGATATTCCAAAATGGATCAGGGCCTGGTTACAGGAGAGGAAACAGAGAGTAAGCATTAGCGGCACTAAATCCGATTGGGGTAACGTCACTAGTGGAGTACCTGAAGACTCAGTACTTGCACCTTTACTATTTATTATATACATAAGCGACATAGATATAGGCGTAGAGGGTAACTTAAGTAAATTTGCTGACGACACTAAAATAGGTCGTGTAATTAAATCTGACGAGGACTCAGCAAAACTACTGGAAGATCTAAACAAATTTTTCACGTGGTCTGAAAAATGGTAGATGAAATATAATGTGGACAAATGTAAAGTACTTAGTCTAGGAGATGTAAATAGATAAACCAGATATCAGATGAACAATGTTGTTTTAGAGAAATCCGACTGTGAGAAAGATTTAGGAGAAATGATATGTAGGAATCTTAAACCAAGATAACACTGTATTTGCTCGAAACATGGCTAACAAAGTACTTGGGTTCATACAAAGAGGTGTTAGTTACAAGACTAGCTAGATTATCCAAAACTCTATCTTGCGCTTCTGATACCTCACTTAGATTAAGTGGTTTAGTTCTGGTCACCGTACTACAGAATCCCTGGCAAGAAATCAGAGGAGAATGACAAGACTAATCCCGGACATTAGAAACAAATAGAACAGATGTTAAAGCATGTTAATTTGCATCTCTCGAGAGACGTACAGTGAGGAGCGAAATGATGGAGGTGTATAAATGGAAGTCAGGGTTAAACAAAGGTGATATAACAAAGGTACTTAAACTATTCAACCAGGAGCGAACTCGTTGCGATGGTTTTAAATTAGTCAAACTTAGATTTCGGCGCGTGATAGGTAAACATTGGTTTGGAAATAGAGTAGAGGATGAGTGGAACAATGTACCAAACATCATCATTAGCTCGAATAAGCTGGGTAGCTTCAAACATAGGTTGGATGGATATATGAGCGATGTGTTTTTGCTCGTAACAAGACTAATAAAGTACTTGGGTTCATACAAAGGAGTGTTAGTTACAAGACTAGCGAGGTCATCCTAAAACTGTATCTTGCTCTTGTGAGACCACACCTGGATTACGCAGTTCAGTTCTGGTCACCGTATTACAGAATGGATATAGAATCCTTGGAAAGAATTCAGAGGAGAATGACAAGACTAATCCCGGGCATTAGGAACCTTGAGTATAGAGACAGGTTAAAGCATCTTAATTTGCACTCCCTTGAGAGACGAAGAGCGAGGGGCGACCTGCTAGAGGTGTATAAGTGGAAGGCAGGGCTAAACAAAGGAGACATTACTAAGGTACTCAAACTATCCAACCAGGAGCGAACTCGTAACAATGGTTTTAAATTAGACAAATTTAGATTTAGGCGTGAAACAGGTAAACACTGGTTTGGAAACAGAGTAGTGGATGAATGGAACAAGTTACCAAATATCATCATTAACTCGAATACGCCGAACTGCTTCAAACATAGGTTGGATGCTTATATGAGCAATAGGGGTTGGGTGTAAACGGGACTGCCCAGTATGGGCCAATAGGCCCGCTGCAGTTTCCTCCATTCTTATGTTCTTATGTTGTTATGGGTTGGGTGTAAACGGAACTGCCCACAGTATGGGCCAATAGGCATGCTGCAGTTTCTTCCATTCTTATGTTCTTATGTTACTGCGCCTGGACTCGATAGCCATAAGTACCATTGACCACTACAGAGTACCTATTATTTTGTACTTGGGCACTAAATTTGTGAGTATCATTGGCTGTATCGTGGAGTTGTTACTACTGGGCTGGGTCATTACCGCCCTACAGGTATGATTTTATTTTACCTCAATTCACATTCATGAGTGCGATTCCTTCTTCCAGAGGCTGGTGTTGGTGGCGATGGGCGTGACCACACTGCTGGCGTCAGGCCAGGGGTCAATGGCGGTGGAGGAAAATACACAGCTCCTTCCGGTGGTGGAGGTGGGGGAGGCAGCGTCGTCGTCGGTGGTGGTGGTGGTGGTGGTGGAGGAAAATACATAGCTCCTTCCGGCGGTGAAGGCAGCGTCGTCGTCGGTGGCGGCTATGGTTCCGGAGGGGGGGGGCAACGGCGGCGGCGGCGGCGGCGGCAGCAGTGGCGGCGGCGGCGTCTATAGTTCTGAAGGTAGAGGCAACGGCAGCGGTGGCGGCGGCGACAGCTATGGTTCCGGAGGTGACGGTAGCAGCGGCGGCGGCGGCTACAGCTCTGGAGGAGGTGAAGGCAACGGCGGCGGCGGCAGAGGCTATGGTTCCGGAGGTAGAGGCAACGGTGGCGGTAGCAGCGGTGGCGGCGGCTACAGCTTTGGAGGAGGTGAAGGCAACGGTGGTAGTGGTGGCGGCACAGGCGGCGGCTATGGTTCCGGTGGTGGAGGCTAGGACGGTGGCGGCTACGGTTCAGGAGGTGGAGGAAACAGAGCCAAGGCAACCGTGAGCTTCAACCTTTTGCCTGTTCGAGGTGGAACTGGTGGTGGCTACAGAGGTGGCAATGGAGGTGGATCTGGTGGTGGCAACGGTGGTGGAGGAGGTGGCAACGGTGGTGGATCTGGTGGTGGCTACGGAGGTGGCAACGGTGGTGGAGGAGGTGGCAACGGCGGCGGAGGAGGTGGCAACAGAGGTGGATCTGGCGGTGGCTACGGAGATGGCAAACGTGGTAGAGGATATGGCAACGGTGGTGGATCTGGTGGTGACTGCAGAGGTGGCAACAGTAGTGAAGGAGGTGGCAACGGTGGTGGATCTGGTGGTAGCTACGGTAAGTAAAGAGCAGCCCATACCGAATCGAATCCTACATAAGATGAACGCGATTCTAAGGGCCAATTGCAAGAACATCTGCGGTGTACACCATGCTGTGGTAACCCCATGGTCGGTTTGCAAGAAGCACTCTGGGCGAAAAAAAAAATATCTACGATTCGTTATTGAAGCGTATGAGATTTCTGTGGTACTCGTACCACCACCAAAAGACCACTACGATGGAACTATATTTTGAAACCAAAAGAAAAGAAATAGAATTGCATGTGCATAAATTGTATAAATCTGCAAAGGAATATTTTTTTATAAGATATCCTCCATATAGAACAGCACATGAAGAATTTTATTGTTCTTTTTAATAGAATTCCATGTTTGTGTAGGGACATCCGCCAGCCTCTACTGGCCTCATCGCCGCTTATGTCCTCCAAATTCTCCTAACCATCATAAAAGGTAAGCCTTTAAGATAACTAATCCAAATAATTTATGTGTAGAAATGTATGGAAATCAAATTAAGCTAAAAAAAAGTCGTAATTGGTCTATTTGAAGAGTGGTGAGATCTGCTCCATCTGGGATGGTGAATGACGTCCCTTATCAGAAATAATATCGACCCAATTTTCGTAATGAGCCCGATTGATAACCGTCCAGCATAACCAAAATAATTATCTAACTAGTATAAATACTTAGTAGCTTAAATTTCATATTTCAATAAGTCCAAAAATGCCAGGTAACCAGTGCCAGGTTGTTCCTAGGCATGTTTCATTTGTGTATCAGTTTAATCATAATTTGTTACTAATAAGATAAATTCAGTGACATAAATTCATGTTCTTTTCTTTAATTCCCTTAGTGACTCAATTTATTGCAAGAAAGAACTACTTTACCACTTTTTGTGTAACATTTGGAGTGGTGGTCATAATTCACTTTGCCATTGACAGTGGTAGAATCAAGTTCAGATATATTGGGTTTGTAAAGTAAAAAACAACTAGGGTTGGGGTTCACCAACCAATACAATACAAAGAAGACTAGATAACGTCACCGTTATTTTACCAGTATAAAGTTACGAAATTTCAAGCCTAGTACACAATATTATATGCTACACACATTATTATATCCTACACTATATTACATCCTATACACCGTTTCCACCTTCCTCAGCCACGTGAAATTCAAATTCAAAACATTTATTGACAATTACATCAAAAGAAGTGATTAGCATGCTAACTAGCCCGCCCAAAACTAGTCTTAACAAGAGCTCTTTAACATTCCACTAATCATAAATCAGATATGTATACAACAAATAGATATGCATAAAATCTATAATCTTTTGTTAAACTTAGAATTTTTTTCGTATTTTTAACCATATTTTTGTGTATTAAATAACAAGCCATCTCTGTAATATCAGTAATACCATCACACCTAAATTCTGATAAACAGTTACATTCCGTAATGTAATGATGTAATGTATGAGACTTTACATAGCCACACAGTTTACAAGGAATGCCATCAGTTCCTTCAATATATTGCCAATAATATTTGTACCCAAAGCGTAGTCTTACCACAAATGTATCATACTTAACCGATCCCTTACCATAAGTAGAACTTGTAGAGTTCAAAACTCGAACATAATGTTTCAAACTACTACTGCCGTTGTTCAAAATTTTCCGAATATTGACCATTTCCCATTGCTGTCGGATTTTTACCAATCCAGATTTTATTCTTTTAATACCCAAAATAAAATCGTATTCTACAATTTCTTTGCCACACCCTTGCTTAGCCAAATCATCAGCAACCTCATTCATATAAATACCACAATGGGATGGAATCCACATAAAACTAACATCATATCCAAGTGATTTTATGTCCTGAATACACTTCTTACATTTTAAAACTAAATCATCATCAAGAGGCACTTTAGAATTTAGAGCAAATAGAGCGCTTTGACTGTCAACAAACCCAAAAGCTGTCTTTTTCCTCACAAAGGCATTCTTAAGTCCCACATATCTAGCATAAGTCTTATGTACTTTTCCGGACAAGTTCAATTTCTCTGATGCTGATGATGACACGCTCTATTCAAAGGGTCAATGGACAAGTAGCATTACAGTCGAGGGAATCATTTCGACCCCTTTATTTTCGTGGATACATCTAAAATAGACGCTAGTAATTGCAACAAATTCTGTATTCGATGCAGGAAAGTGGGTGAAAGAGAGATTACACTAAAATGGTAAATGGTGGATTTTACATATCTCAAGACATTTGCCAATGCATGTATGATGTGTTTCAAAGCGGATTTTGTAGAACTGGGAGCAAATATTGACGGTAGGGGATATATTGTAAGAAAGGGTAATGGTGTTATTCCGATGTAATTCACGTATGTGTAGACAAAGATCAAGATCTCACTGTCAAGCTTCCTATACTACCGACAACGAGGGAATGGAAAGTCTCTATACATTTACACGCCATATGAACCAGCAACAAGAAAAACAGTTGGTAAAGTGGCGAGGAAGTTTGCTGACGACCGTGGAGCTCTTGAGAAGAGTGTAACAACCTTCAAGAAAGTGTATTCAAATATTCAACATATTCTGTTTAATATAATAAGTTGCTACTGCGATATGATCGAAACAATTAGAAAAGTTCCGTTCATCGCCGAAATCTTAGACGACGCAAAGAGGAATAATAATACTATAACTAATTCTCCAAATGTAAATAATAATTTTTGGACTATAATTAACACTTCAATGTTAATTAATGGTGGAGATAGAAAGATGGGTCAACTACCACTTCAGGTAATAAAATTACTGTACAAGATGCTGAATGTGAAGTGAACATCTTTATTGATAGACCGTTTTTGTAATCTAGATCAGATTGATGAAATCGTTAATATAGGTATTTTTGTTAAACCAGTTAATTTCAGCAATCACTAAATAAATTTAATGGATTATATATTAGTTTGTTTTATCTTCTAGGGCTAAAGGATAAGGATAATCTATTTATATTTTTTTGTTTAATGATATTTGTGAGTTGAACTATAAAATATAATAATTGGGACTAACCACAAAAAACATCACTGGCCTTTTTAATCCTTAAAAAAATTGTCTTCATATAATTTTCCTTATTTTTCTTCCACCACTCTTCTACCACTTCTCCTCATCGTTATCGTCTACTTATTCTTTCCTCATCTTCCTCCTTATCTTCTGTCTTCTTCTACCTTCTTCTCTTCTATAGTCTTATCCTTCTCCACCTCATTTCTTCTGATGAAGGGTAAACTGAGATTTTGTTCAGTGGGAAAGCTTGTCCTAGTTTTCCGACGCTGTGATTTAGCGAGACGTTCCTCATGCATTTTCTGGTTGGAACAGGTTTCTACCATGCTGCTCAGCTAGTTATACACGCTATATATGCACCTTTATGCTATCTCTTCTTCTCCAATTATAATTGAGGTTTGTGTATTATTAAGCTTTTTTGGTGTATTTTGTATGCTGATCTCAAAAATGTTATCCATTTTGCTCAATCAGGTCAAAATTTGTGCTATAGCATTTTAGCGGAGATTCAGGTAAAATATTGGCATTTTTCGCTCAAAATGGGGTCCTCATATTCGTTCATTAAAAAATCATCAGAGACATTGGCAAGCTCACAGAAAAGATTTCGGTCAATTTTAATGCCCTTATGATGCATTTAAATACACCTACGTGCTTCGCCGCCATTTAAATGTCCGCCGTGACGCAAAGGAAAAGAGTATATGTCCGTGTTTTTTACATATATTTTTTCACAATTAAATTTTTTCATCTGTTGGTACATGGCATGCCTCTGTCTGTGGGATAGTCGAGCAGACAAGCAGCACTACATGCAATGTGACTGGCCTGCAAGAAGTGGACTTACTCCAGGTTCTCACAATGTTGGTGCCCATGCTCTGGTGAATTGCAGAACATTCTTCTTCCGCCACTGCACATCAAGCTCGGTCTGTTCAAAACTTTGTAAAGGCACTGAAAAAGCCAGGCTTTCAATTTTCTGAAAGAAAAAATTTCCAAAAGTCAGTGAGGCAAGCTGAATGCAGGAATTTTTGATGGCCCTCAGATCAGAGAGCTTTTCAAAGATCCCAAGTTTGATTGCAGCATGGATGTAAATGAGAAGAAAGCCTGGCATGCCTTTAAGTCTATTGTCTCCAATTTTCTTGGCAACTACAGAAGTCCAGAGTATGAACGAGTTGTTGAGGACCTACTTGAGCTACAAAGTTTGTGCACGTATGTCCATCAAGATGCACTTCCTCAGCTCCCACTTGGACTACTTTCCAGAGAACTGTGGTGACGTGAGTGAGGAACAAGGAGAACGCTTCCATCAAGATATCCGTGTAATGGAGGAGCGGTACCAGGGTCGCTGGGATATCAACATGCTGCCGACTACTGTTGGTGTCTGAAACGGGACGCCCGAGACACCAACCACCAAAGAAATTCTCTGTGACAGCCATTTATGCATGTCTAACTGTAAAGGCATCTATGTAGTTGACATTTTTGGTCCTATGTGTTGTGGTTACATTTCTATGATATATTTTGCATAAAAATTTTGACATCGTATTTAAGAATTTGATTTTTCCTAATTCCATAGCATAAAAATCTGATCTGATTGGGCAAATGAATGGCATTTTTGGAATCAGCACGCAAATACATAAAGAATCAGCTAAGAAACCCTGCACCTCATGAATTTTTTTTTTCAAATGCAGCCCAGTGTTATATATGAATATATGTTTTTTTTTTCTTGTGGTATAACTTACGTTCAGCTGATTGTCTGTCCCACATAAAATGCCATTTCTGAATGAAGAGAGTACTGGAGTATTCAGAATGATAATTCCATTAAACATAAGTATTTTTCATTTAAAATCTTAAGTGTTTATCTCTAACTTGAGGATATTCACTGTATTTTTTATTATTTCTTTTTTATTTGACTCAGAGAATAAAGGGCTGCATGGTTTCTTAAATTAATAATTTTCATAAGGTCTGATATATATTGTAAATGGGCAGAATTATACATTATCACAGGAGAATAATGGGCACTAACCAACCTTCTATTTCATATTGTGTGATTAGTCGAGAACCATATCCACATATATCAAGAGAGTTATTTATTTTAAAGAAAACATCAACAGTGGCCTTTTTTGTGGGTTATATATTATGTAACTATTGTATTTTTAAGATTTTTTTAAACCCAGCCAACAACTTTCCAGTAAAGTAGATACATGCTTCCCCATTTTCATGATATAAATTTCTATGGTAGATGTCCAACTTTCCCAGAAAGTAGATATTCTGTCAGATACAAATTTCCCGTTTATGATAAAATAATTAGGGTGATATTTCCCCAAGCAAAAGTCGATTATTTACTTCAAAAATCGATAGACCACTTCCCAAAGAAGATTATTCTGATTTTTCAGGAAAGTAGATAACCAACTTTCTCTCCAGCAAAAGTAGATATTTTCCATTTCTAAGATATGTCTCCCATTTTCAAGATATAGATAACCAACTTTCCCAGAAAGTGACTTCCATTTCTGTGGTACCAAATTTCCTGTTTTCGCAGATAATCTACTTTGCAAAAATTAGGCAATATTTCCCAAAGTCAGATAATCCCCATTCTCAAAAGTCAATAATTATCACTTTCCCTAGTAGATGAATTGCATTTTTCAGGAAAGTAGATAACCTAACTTTCCTTGCAAAGTAGATATTTCCCGTTTTCAGATACAAATTTCCTGGGTTTCTATGATAAAATACTTTGCAAATTAGTGATATTTCCTCAAAAGTCGATAAATCTTCTTCCCAAAAAATCGATATAATTCATTTCCTGAAAGTAGATACCTACTTAGATAAACCAACTTTCCGTAAAAGCAGATATTTTCCATTTCTATGATATAAATTTCCTCATTTCATGAGGTTATAGATAAACCAACTTTCCCAGAAAGTAGATATTTTGCTTTCAGATACAATTGCTTTATAAAATATCAAGAAAATTAGTGATATTCTCAAAAGTCGATAATTTATTTAAAAATCAGATAGACCCACTTCCAGTAGATTATCTGATTTTCAGAAAGCAGATAAACTGAACTTTCCGTAAAGTAGATATTTCCCTATTTTCTACAGATATGTATAAATTTCATTTAAGATAAGAGATAACCAACCTTCCCAGAGTGGATATTCCCATTTTCAGATACAAATTCTCCTGCCTTTCTATGATAAAATATACTTTGCAAAATTAGGTGGATATATTTCCAAAAAGTCGATAATTTGAGTTTCAAAAATCGATAATCTACTTTCCGATTATCTACTTTTTCAGGAAAGTGGATAAACTGAAACTTCCTGCAGATATTTCCCATTTTCATGATGTTGATATAAATCTCCATTTTCGGCCGAGCAGAGATAAACCAACTTTCCCAGGAAAGAGATATCTTGCATTTTCTGTGGCACAAATTTCGTTTTCATGATAATCTACTTTTGCAAAATTAGTAATATTTCCCCAAAAGTCGATAATCTACTTCCAGTCAATAATCTACTTTCCCGAGATAATTTTTCAGAAAGTAGATAACCAACTTCCAAAGTGATATTTCATTTCTATGATATAATTTCAGATGATAAGATAAACCAACAGATATTTCATGATAAAACATGGTGTGTCTTAGTGATATTTCCCCATAAAAGTCGATAACTCTATTTCAAAAAAAAAATCGATAGTCTACTTTCCCAGTAGATTAGTCTACTTTTCAGAAAGCAGATAAACCAACTCTTCCAGTAAAGCAGAGATAGTTTCCCATTTTCTATGATATAAATTACTTTTCTATGATAAAGCAGATAAATCAACTCTTTCCTGAAAGTAGATATTTCATTTTTCTGTAGCCACTTCTGTTTACAGAGATAATCTACTTGCAAAATTAGTATATATTTCCAAAAGTCAGATAACTACTCAAAGTCGGCTGATTCACTTTCCGAAAAGCAGATATCTACTTTTCAGAAAGTAGATAACCAACTTTCCCAGAAAGTGAAGATATGCTTCTGCTTTGTGATACAAATTTCCTGTTTATGATAAAATACTTGCAAAATTAGGTGATATTTCAAAAGTCGATAATTTCTTCCCAAAAAATCGATATGTCTACTTCTTTTAGCAGATACCCATTTTGGGAAAGTAGATAACCAATCCTTTCCAGTAAAGTAGAGAGCTTCATTTCTATGATATAAATTTCCCATTTT